CCCACCACCCATCGCTCATCTGCACGCCTCATCTTTTCCTTTTCCTCCCCCCCTTTCCATTTAAGAGTACCTGTACCGAGTGATAGCCTCGCACGAAGGAGGCTCTGTCCGTAGTGACTGGAGCCGGGGACGCACGACGGGAGCAGGTAGATATTATTTATCTTCAGATGCGTGTGTGCCCACACGTGCACATGCTTGCGCATCCGCGTTGGTGCAGAGAAGAGCGTCGCCCTGGCCCGGGAGCAGGCTGCCGTCTCGTCCGGAGCGTGCCTCGGTTGGCAGACGCATCTGCCGGGGGCTCCCGCGCTTAGTAGATGGGTGCTGTCGATTTTTCAGGTCTCCAGTAAGTATTGGCTCAGGCTTGATTCTTCCTGTTCACAGGCAGAAAGAAGTTCTATGTTGTCTTAAGAATTCAACAGTGATACGGCCTAGGACAGGAAACCTTTACAGACTGCACCCGGGCGGCTGACGTTGGGATCCCCGTAAAGTGGGGGTGGCCCCCTCTGGCCTCCCTCTTGCTGCAGGTGCATCTGAAACCTGCCCCCTGGCTGGAAGCACGTGCATCTTTTATCCCATCAGAGCAGACGTTTGCCATGGTGTTGACTTTAGCAGCTGAGAGTGACTCTCCCAGGATAGAAATTGCTGATTGGTCTCATTTTCTTTTTTTTTTTTTTTCCAGTTAGAGGGGAGACGACTGGGAGGCAGGCAGAATACATTAGGTCGCATCGCAGACAGCCGATTTGTCAATGCGCTGAGCCGCTGACAGTGACCGAAACACCGTTTTGCTTAATATTGTCACAGGAAGGCGTTCATCACAGAAAGTTTTGTCACTCAGTAGCTTGCTACCCTTTTGGGTCAGAAAGGCAAATGCATATGTGGTTTTTTTAAATTGATTTCAGAGAGAGGAAGGGAGAGGGAGAGAGAGAGAAACATTAGTGATGAGAGAGTCATGGATCGGCTGCCTCCTGCTCGCCCCCTGCTGGGGATCCAGCCCACAAACCCGGGCCTGCGCCCTGACCTGGAATGGAACCACAATCTCCTGGTTCATAGGTCAACGCTCAACCGCTGAGCCATGCCGGCTGGGCCCAGGGAGGACTCAAATTGACATCTTTTTGTAGGAGAAACAATGAGTTGAATGCGCTCTTCAAATCTTTTTCATCTTCAGAGCTTGGAGAAAGCTCTGATATATAAAATATGCATCTGTTACTGGCCTGTCCTCTGCCCCTATTCAAACTCCCCTACTTTTAACAAACACACTGTAAAGGGCTCTTTCCGTCTGATTCAGTCAATAGGTATCTAGAAAGCGCCTCGCTGACATAGCTTGATAGTGTCCTTTTTTGAGGACCACTGAGAAAATATGCAAACAGGGCTCTGAATTTATAACAACGATCTGACCACAAAGACTTACGCCATAAATTCATATTTACAATCCGGCCGCAACCCCGAGCAGCTACATGCTCCCAGGGGTTGCCGAATAATTGCGCTATTTAATTATTTTTGAGTCAGTTTTGCTCTGTCCCTTATGAGGAGACCATCTGTTAGACAGTCCTGCACTTCTCCGGGTACCACATTTCAGAACTAATAAAATCAGCCTCCCTCCTGTGGTCCCTCTACTTGCATCCCAATTGCGCGGCCGTGCGCTTTCTGGAGGCGCTCGCGGTGCTCCGACGGCACAGGCCCTGGCTCTCCACCTCTGTGCTTCCTCTCCTCCCCGGTTTCCCTGGACACTGTCCTTTTACTGGTCTGAACAGTCAAGTCAGAGAGGGAGGCGCTGGACGCGGGGAAACGGGAGTGACCCTCTGCCGGGAGGGCTCAGGGGTCCTCTCATCCATCATCCTGCCAGGGGGCTCCTTGGGCTTCTTCTCAGCGTCCCCGGCGCGCTCAGCTGTCATGAAGTTTCTACTGATCAGAACCGTGGAAACACGTAATAACTAGTTAAAGGTATGGATTTTTGAAATTAGGGGACGCAGCTTGTAAGTGAGGTTTCGCTGTGGCTTTAAACTTTCTCATTCCCTGTTAGTGTTTCGTGAAACCCTGCAGAAAACGTCCCCAGAAGCGATTGTGTAGAATCTCAAGGACACAAACTTTTCCACCTCCCGAAATGCAGGGAGCCGTGTAACCTTATCTCATTCACCTCCCATAGAATTTTGATTTTTTTTTTAACACAGACTTGAGAATAGTCGCGTTTTGAAAACGAGATCAGACATTCGAGTACACTGGCGATATTTTTTTTTTTGGCTACTGCATCGGAGATATAAAAGTGTCAGACCGCTGGGTGTAATAACACTCTAATTACGGTGCTTCGAAGGGGGGCATCGTTACTTTGTGTGAGCTCGTTACCTGCCCACCTTCCACCCCCTTTTCGGGTGATGTTTAGAACACGGCGGCCCCATCAAATGTTTCGGGAAGGCCTGGGCCAGGCTGGGAAGAACGTTATGTCCATGGAGTTTTGATGGTTTTGAAATACCGCTTAAGCCGAACGGCTCAGGATGTGCAGTCATGTTAAATCAGTGCTGAAAAGTTACAACTCTAATAAATTGTATTTATGCTAATGGCCGGGCCTGATTTACGGCGGCCGCCGAAAGTGAGGAATGAGCAGCAGGCCCCTCCACACGGCCGTCTGCCTCCTCTCTTCTCTCTCACTCTGCCCCAGCTCCGCAGAGAGTGCCGCCCCCCGCCCGAGCCCACGGCGTCAATGGGTCCAGCGTGGAAGTGACCTGGGATGAACACGTCGAGGTTAGAGGCCTGATCGAGAGGTACGTCCTGAGAGCCTGCGGCGAGGACAGGGTTGCCGGCCCGCCCGCCACGCCCTGCGCCACCTCCGAGCTTGTGGACACCAACAACCTCACAGGTAACGGCGACTCCCGCCCGGAGTAAACTTACTCATTTCTTTTAGTTTGATGTTTTTAAGAGATAGGTTTTGATTGACTTCGGAGAGAGGAAAGGAGAGGGAGAGAGAGAGAGAGAGAAACATCGATGGTGAGAGTCATTGACCTGCACGTCCCCCTGCTGGGGATCGAACCCACAACCAGGGCATGTGCCCTGACCGGGAATCAAACCGTGACCTCCTGGTGCACTGGACAGTGCTCACCCCACTGAGCCATACCAGCCGGGCCTCTTTGATTTTAAGTAAAAACTTTCTTCACGGTTTCTTTTCCCCCAAAATACATTATTTATTCATCTACTTTTGCCTGATTAAAAACAAGAACCGTCTAATGAGATAGGAGCTTGCATCTACCTGGAATGGCAAGAATAATGCCATATAGGATCACGTGCTACAAGGTTGATATTCTCTCTGTCCCCAAAAGATTAGGCCACAGGTGTCTACAGCTCTCAAAACTCTTTAGACATCTCTTGGGGATCCCGTACATACCAGACACCACCAGCTGACCTCTGTCACCAGGCAAAATTGCAGCCTTTGGGGTTAGCCCAAGTTCACAGCACCATTATTTATTGTAAAATCGTTGATTAAATCTAATCATGTCAAGGCAGAGGAGCACCGGAGCTCCAGCAGTTTGAGGGGCATCCCGGTGAGTCGGTTTCTCCCGGGGCAGCATGCCAGGCGGCCCCTGGAGTGGGTCAGACTCACGCACACCACCCACGCGCCCCGGGCTCACCTGTGTGCACGCGTGTAACAGGACAGCGGCTTACAGCTTCATGAAATGTGAAAGCCCCTGGAAATAGAAAGTCAAATTTAAGCCTTTGACCAAAAGAAGTAAAATACATCCAAAAATCTGATGTAAAAATACTATTTTCCTCTGTCAAAGAATTTTATAAAGTAAAAAAAAAATCATATGGATTTTCGAGTAACCTTAATTATCTTCTCCGCAGATCTATTGCTCAACCCCCTCCAGCCCTTTTTATTTAAGGCTCTTCAGACTCTATAGCTCAGATATACCAACAGTTTTTTTTACAGAATCTTATTTTTACTTCCTTTGTCTTTATTTTTACCACCCGATAAAAATCCACCCTGATTTAGTCCACAGTTTGACGTTTCCCAGTGGGCACATTGTAGCTAAGCTGGCTGGGGAAAAACAGTTTATCACTAAAAATTCTCAACCTACGTTTTCCAAATGGGCACTCAGTAAAAATGCTGNGATTTAGTCCACAGTTTGACGTTTCCCAGTGGGCACATTGTAGCTAAGCTGGCTGGGGAAAAACAGTTTATCACTAAAAATTCTCAACCTACGTTTTCCAAACGGGCACTCAGTAAAAATGCTGATTCCTGGGCACCGCCTGCAGACATTCTTTGGTCGGGAATGTGGCCTGGATGTTGGCATTTCGGTATTGTTTCTCAGTGTCTGCAGGTCATGTAAAGCCAGCATCGGGAAACCCTGGTAAAAGCGGAGTCTGACCAGCGAGCAAGTCTCAATTTCACCCAGAAATCCTTATGACAGCTTTCACCTCCCGACTGAAACTTGAAAAGTTAGGACAAAAAAATGTCAGCTGTCTTTAGAAAAATGATAAAATATTCAATGTCGGTGGATAAAATTAGCAAAGGAAAATATTAGTCATAGACATAGACAAAAATTTAAACGAAATGATCATCGAAAGGAAATGGGAAATGATGGTCAGGTTTATAAAATGCAGAAGGCAAACGGGGAAAAAAAAAAAAAGATGAATATTAACTAAGGGAACTGGGAGACTAGTGAGACCGAATATTTACCACTAATGAATTTGGCTACCAGAGGATTAAATGAGATAAATCCCAGAAGCGTGGAGAGTCCAAGGGTTAACAGCCCCACTCAAGAGCAAATGGGCCCCTGTGGGCCGCAGGCCGGACGCTGTGCCCTCCTAGGGCCAGGGTTCAGAGCAGGAGTTCTCGAAAGTTCATTTCGGCAGCTGGAGCCCCAGGGTAGAAAGCCCTGCAGCTACCACTCCGGTGCGTCTCTCGCCGCCTTGCAAAGGGCTCCAATTAACGGCGGGGCTGTGGCTGATTTTCCCTCCAGCCCTGTTAACATGCGAAGCGGCTGCCCGGAGAGACAACCCTGGCATTTCCCTTCAAGCCCAGGGCTGCTCCGAAAGTGACTTCTCAATTTGATTTGCGATTTTTGTCAAGAAAGAGTGGGTTCAACAATCTGCACGTGGACAATTATTTCTTTTTTTCTTTAAGGTGTTTAAACATGTAAACTTGATTATGGGCATATTTCGTAATGCTAAGGATTATTGGTACATAGAAGATATTTTCTCAATTTTTTTATTATATTGAGCTGAAGTCTAGGAGTTAACTCCTTTCTCAAATGGAATAATAGATAACAAAAATATTTATTATTCATTATAGTTTAGCAGGAGAACCAATAATAATCTTTCAGGTGGCCCGAATAAATCTAAATTTGTGTAGAAAAAGAAAGGAAGGACAATTTAATTTAGAATACAGCTTTTGTAGGGAAACTGGCTCAGACGTCATATGCAGTACAAGCTCATCTACCTGAAGCAAGTGGGTTACGTACTGAAAACCTCTCGTTTTTCTGTCTTCCGCAGCTAGCACTAATAATTAGCGATTCTCAGCTCTGTTGGTCATAAGATGATGCCTGGATTGCTTCAAAAAATGCAGATTCTTGGGCTCTGCACACAAGATTCTGCGTACTCAGAATAATACTAATAGTGTTTTATCCTGCCGAGTTCAGTCCTGAACTACTGGTTTGTACTAAAGTCTCAATAGTGTTAAAGTTCGCTAGTTTTACGAGATAATATCCAGAGTCATCACAACTTAAACATATATTTGGAACTTAATATATGTATTTCTAAAGGAAAAAAATATTGATGAGTAGAATCTAAATATCAGTTCTAAAACTTATACCTTATGGGCCTCACACACTGTGCATTTGTAATTAAAAATAATGGAAGCTGATGTTGCCACATTGATACTAATTACACAGAGCAGGAAATGCTCATCTATTAAAAACACAAACATCATATACTCAGTTTCAGCCTAGTGCTGGATCCAACCTTTGCCATCTTTTTGTTGTTGTTGCTGTTATTTTATTTTTTATTTTTGGTAAAATACACGTAACAAGCAATCTGCATTTATACCACCAACATATAGTCCAAGCACACTCACCAAGTATAATATTATGTACAATGTTAAAGTTTTATGCGGGAAAAACAGTATAGATGAGGTTTTCATTTTCAGTTGATTTCACCCGAGAGACAGAGAACCCAAAACAGCAGTGATTTAAGCAAGATTAAGTTTTTCTCCCTCTGATGATAGACATTCAGTTAGTCAGTGTCAGGTGGAACGTTCACAGTGCCAGGGTCACAGTGCCTACATTTCATCTGCTGTGCCATCCTTAGGGACAAGGCTGCTGTTGCCTCGTGGCCCACGATGGCTGCGTGAGCTCAGCCATCCAGTCTGGATTCCATCCAGCGGAGAGAAAGATACGCACGTTCACTTTAAAGACGTGTTTCAGAAGTTATTCCTTCTGTAACCTCTGGTTACAGTCTGTGATCAGAACGTAGCCCCATGGCTATACCTAGCTGTGGAAAATGTTGGGGACTCACCTTTTTCAAAGGGGCCATTTGCTCAGCTAAAAAAAAATATATATATATTTATTTAGTTTATTGTGAGGAACAGGAGAATATATACAGTGTGGTACTTAGCGGTCTCTGCCACAGTAGCCAAACGTCAGAAGTAAATTTCAAAAATTCCTTTGGACGATAGTATTAAAAAATGAATTTTGAGGGAGTCTGCCATTTTTATAGTACTTCATAAATTAATATTACACCTTTGTAGTTTATTACAAACTCTTCCTTTCAATGTAAATCTCAAAAGAAGTTGGTCTGAAAAAATTCACAGGACAAAAATATGGCCTGTGACATAAATAATAAAAATAGAGATGATGTAATGTTCCTGCTTAGCTAATGTAGAAGAGTTTCATTAGGTAATGCAGCGCTGATGAGTTAATAGTTTTGTCTAAGTTCCCTGAATACATAATGCGCCTGGACCACTGGTACCTTGTGGCATCTTCAGACAGAGCCTTTTACAAGTTATTTGTTTTATTGGAGGCAGTAAGAATTCAGAGAAGAATGTAGGTTTCTTTTTGGCAACATGTTGTATCAAAAATGATGTTTATATATAAGATTTACTGTATCATGATCATCAAGTAGGCATGTCCGTAGTTGATATAAATACGTCAAGGTTACTGATCAGATTTGATTAAAAAAAAAAAAGTCACTTCAAATTTTCTGTTTTCTAACTTTTATGGCCTTTTAATATTTGTGATAGATTTGGAACTGATCAAAATGATATATATTTAATATAAAAGCCCGATGTTACAGTCGACAGCGACACACATGCACTGATATGAATGGCATTTCTTAAGAATCCGTCGTTTCGTAAGGGAATCTTATAGGCTTACGTACTGGCTCATTCTGGGAGACAGACATGCTGCTTTCTGTTGGTGCATAGTAGGTCTTAGTAATGAATTTGGATCTTTTAACGCATTTTAAGGCGGATTTTAAATGAAATATGCGCTGTAAAAAGCACGCTCCTGTTTCTAGTAATGTTTCTTCCATCGGTCGCTTGTCATCTTGTGGGCCGGAGGCTTAGGCCAGTGGCAAGAACGGTGATCTTGGGGTCAGGGGACAGGTTCTCCTCTCAGCTGTGCTGCTGGATTTGGGCGACACATTTCACACCGCGTGCTTCAGCATCCCTTCCTGCAGGGGATCTGGGTCCCTGGGCAGTAAGGGAGGACTCCGTTTCTGTCCCTGCCTCTCTGCTCCGAGAGTCCAGTCTTGTCTTGAAGAGCTCTGAGGACTTGAGTGTCAGCCCTTTAGGTTAAATAAAGAGTCACCATGAGCGGGCGCCTCCACCCTGTTGCAGAATTGGAATGACAATGACAATGACAGAGA